TATCGAAAATCGAATATCGATTAATATCGTAAATCAGTATCAGAAAATTGTCCAAGTGCAATGACAATTTGTTCTTATTTTTCAGGTACTTACCCCTTTAATTTACTTAACAAATTAACTCTGTTAAACGAACGATCCGTATCAATTTTTCTTTTCTTATAAAGAAATGAGAGAATAAATCAGTACCGGAAACCGAAGACCGATCAATACGTAATTTTTCCATCAAATTAACGCGGATAAATGAACGATTCGTATTAATTTTCTGTTTTCTTATAGAGAAATGAAAGAGTAAATCAGTACCGAAAATCGAATATCGATTAATACCGTAAATCAGTGCCAGAAAATTGTCCAAGTGCAATGACAATTTGTTCTTATTTTTCAGGTACTTACCCCTTTAATTTACTTAACAAATTAACTCTATTAAACGGACGATCCGTATCAATTTTTCTTCTCTTATAAAGATATGAGAGAATAAATCAGTACCGAAAACCGAAGACCGATCAATATGTAATTTTTCCATCAAACTAACGCGGATAAATGAACGATTCGTATTAAATTTCTGTTTTCTTATAGAGAAATGAAAGAGTAAATCAGTATATCGAAAATCGAATATCGATTAATATCGTAAATCAGTATCAGAAAATTGTCCAAGTGCAATGACAATTTGTTCTTATTTTTCAGGTACTTACCCCTTTAATTTACTTAACAAATTAACTCTGTTAAACGAACGATCCGTATCAATTTTTCTTTTCTTATAAAGAAATGAGAGAATAAATCAGTACCGAAAACCAAAGACCGATCAATACGTAATTTTTCCATCAAACAAACGCGGATAAATGAACGACTCGTATTAATTTTCTGTTTTCTTATACAGAATGAAAGAGTAAATCAGTACCGAAAATCGAATATCGATTAATACCGTAAATAAGTGTCAGAGAATTGTCCAAGTGCAATGACAATTTGTTCTTATTTTTCAGGTACTTACCCCTTTAATTTACTTAACAAATTAACTCTATTAAACGAACGATCCGTATCAATTTTTCTTTTCTTATAAAGAAATGAGAGAATAAATCAGTACCGAAAACCAAAGACCGATCAATACGTAATTTTTCCATCAAACTAACGCGGATAAATGAACGATTAGTATTAATTTTCTGTTTTTTTATAGAGAAATGAAAGAGTAAATCAGTACCGAAAATCGAATATCGATTAATATCGTAAATCAGTGTCAGAGAATTGTCCAAGTGCAATGACAATTTGTTCTTATTTTTTAGGTACTTACCCCTCTAATTTACTTAACAAATTAACTCTGTTAAACGGACGATCCGTATCAATTTTTCTTCTCTTATAAAGAAATGAGAAAATAAATCAGTACCGAAAACCAAAGACCGATCAATACGTAATTTTTCCATCAAATTAACGCGTATAAATGAACGATTCGTATTAATTTTCTGTTTTCTTATAGAGAAATGAAAGAGTAAATCAGTACCGAAAATCGAATACCGATTAATACCGTAAATCAGTGTCAGAGAATTGTCCATGTGCAATGACAATTTGTTCTTATTTTTCAGGTACTTACCCCTCCAAACTTATTCAACAAATTAACTCTGTTAAACGAGCGATCCGTATCAATTTTTCTTTTCTTATAATGAAATGAGAGAATAAATCAGTACCGAAAACCGAAGACCGATCAATACGTAATTTTTCCATCAAATTAACGCGGATAAATGAACGATTCGTATTAATTTTCTGTTTTCTTATAGAGAAATGAAAGAGTAAATCAGTACCGAAAATCGAATATCGATTAATACTGTAAATCAGTGTCAGAGAATTGTCTAAGTGCAATGACAATTTGTTCTTATTTTTCAGGTACTTACCCCTTTAATTTATTTAACAAATTAACTCTGTTAAACGGACGATCCGTATCAATTTTTCTTTTCTTATAAAGAAATGAGAAAATAAATCAGTACCGAAAACCAAAGACCGATCAATACGTAATTTTTCCATCAAATTAACGCGGATAAATGAACGATTCGTATTAATTTTCTGTTTTCTTATAGAGAAATGAAAGAGTAAATCAGTACCGAAAATCGAATATCGATTAATACCGTAAATCAGTATCAGAAGATTGTCCAAGTGCAATGACAATTCGTTCTCATTCCCAAGTCTTTCCCGAGTCGAAATATTAATTCTACATTGATCCTGCAAATTGCATCCAATTTGAAAAATCAATGCAGAATATCTAGATGCGCAATAGTGAACAAGCTTTGTCTTACCTGAACGTTACATCTGGCTACTCTCGCAGTCTCGCCCATGATGAGTCTTCAACAGCGACGTATTCCGCAGTTATTTAATACTCGTTTATCTCGATAATGTATATGTACTTAATCCTTATATTCTTAATTTAAATGAGCAATTTTTGTTGATATTGATTATATATTTGCTTAACAGCGCAAGAAAGAGAACAAAGATAAACACGTAAATAGAACTGTCTTTGTTAGAACTGCGCGTGAGATAAATATATAAGGATTAAATAATCATATAAGAATTAGAGGAAATGGGAGATGAAAAAGACTTTTTATTCTCATCATTCTTAAAATTCTTTTTTCCTTTTTTCTTCTCTTTTTTTCTTTTCTTTTTTCTAATGAGAATGATGAGAATTGTAGCTCTCAAAAGAGCTGAAGCTGCAAAAAGACAACGGTTATGTCTAATAATGCTGTTTCACTAATAGAGATTTTAATTCCGATTCGGTACAATAAGAAAGATAAACAAGAATGAGAAACGGACATTCTAGCAGATTCTAAAGGGAAACAGCAATCTGAGCATTATTAGACGAATAAAAATCAACACTTGTAAAATATGTATCAGATTCTAAGATCATTATTCATAGTTTTTTAAATTATGTGCAATTTTTCATTGAGAACATAATTACAAATTTGTATTCATAAACCTTAGCTTGCCTTAGCAACCTTGCTTGAATAGATATTCATATTTTATGAGAAAAGAAAAGTAGAACTCATGTTACGTGAAATTAGTTTAACGAATAATCAAATTTCAAGCTATTTTTCAGATGATAAACTATGAATGCTGATCTAATTTCGACTCGGGTATGTCCTTACTTCGAGTAAGGTCCGTTAAAATCAGAAAAATGTTGCGTAATAATAATAACTCGAGGTACCTCGAATACCATATATGATGTATCGCTGTCCATGTCTCTCAGCGCGTTCCAAGTCTTCTCTGCATCCTGACTTCTCGATCCGACGTCCTCCTTCTGGTTACTCCGTCGCAGCACCCCCGGATACTCCATCGTAGCACTGGCGACGACACTGACTCTAGCTCTAACACTCGCGCAAGTAAGATTCGGGGACAAAGAAACGCGTATTAACCGATTACTCTGCGTCGCGGTATGCGCGTCGTTCGCCGGCCCGAGGCGCAATGTCCTTTCCGCAATCACGGAGTCATATATAAGCGTACGAAACAAACAATCGGGAAGGCACGGTTACCCCCTACCAGTCGCTGACCTTGCCGATCAGTGTTGATGCCTGCGTCGTCCGTTAGCTGAAAATGAAAACAATTCGTGTTTTCAAAGCATGCCTGTGAGAGACTCGCTTCAAACTTCACAATACTTGTTTACGTCTGTTCCAGGAATCATATTACGCCGAATTCAAACTGTCTCTATTGACATGACACACGAGATCTGCGATCGCATCATTGATCTTTCTTTGGACAAGAAAATCCTGAGAAGAACGCTGTTCGAGAATATCACATTCTGTGTTTCAGGTGCCTTGCAGATTATCGAATCCGATGTAACAGATCAGGGAAAGTATGAATGCGTCGCTATGAATAACACGCGTGGACACAGAATACTCCAAGTCAATTACGTTATACGTGAAACGTACATATATTTAATATTATATAAAACCTTTCCTTTTTAAACAAAAAGGTAAAAAAAGGCGCCAAGTACAAGCGTAACACGTATTGTGTTATTTTTAGAAGTATCAAACTCAAATTATTTTTTTATTGTATATATGTGTACATAAGTTTTTTGACAAGTAAAACTTATAACTATAATAAAACTCTGCAACACTTTTCTACTGTACATAAGAAATGATATATTAGGACAGTAGTGCCAACTGAGAAACCTAACATAACATAACTAAAACTCGTTTAATACATATATGACAGCATTTTTATTATAATAAAATGTCCTTGTAAATTCTTTTTATACATATACGGTATAATGTTTTATTTAAGTTTATATAGTATTATAATAAATAAATTATAAACCTTCATTATAGAATATATTATAATAAAAATGCTGTCATATATGTATTAAACAAGTTTTAGTTCGATATAGTTTTTGGTGCAGCCGCGCCAAGATTTTATGAACAATTAAACCTACGCGTAAGTTAAAAGTGCGTAAGCTGCACGCACGGTTATTAAAACTTACGCGTAATTGGGCACGCACAGCATGCGATACAAAACGTATTTGCAACTTAAGGTCATTACACGTAGAAAAATTTTAACCGTAACCGTAAGGTTGTAAGAAAACTGACCAATCACAGTCGATCCATTCTCTTGTGACATTATAATAATCGACTGTGATTGGTCAGTTTTCTTACAACCTTACGGTTACGGTTAAAATTTTTCTACGTGTGATGGCCTTTACGTGTGGGTTTTCTCACTTCAACTTGTTGCACCAGTTCAGCAGTGCAGACAAAACGAACAGGCCTATTGCCTGGCATAGAGATAGTAACTATGGTTGCAGCACGGACATAGATCGTCTGAAAGTGGATGTAGCACGGACTTCCACCACATGCAGATTTTACCACCAAGACCTAAAAGTGGATGTAGCATCGTAGTTCTCCTCTCAAAATGGATGCAGATGGTGCCCATTTCCAGTGCGAAAAATCGGTGTCGCCGAAAACGCCGTGTTGGCCGCTCTCAGCTTCCTCTCTGCTTGAAATAGTCGTTCAAACGTGGGAACGCGGATGTTTTCCGGCCATTGGCAAGCCTGCGAACGCGTGCGAACCGGCGGCGCAGCGCTCGCTGCCAAAAAGGGGCAGCGGAGAGTGATGCGAAAATTGTCAAATACCTGGTGCGCGGCGGTGGTGCGGTCCCGGTGAGCCTGTGTTAGCGTGGTGCGACGAGTAGCGTGCAGCTGTGCGAGAAGCCGCGCGATGTCGAGCACCCTGGAGAACAAAATTTTGGACCTGCAGCAGCGTCTGCGGGCGGAGAACGAGTCGCGAGACAGAGACAAACAGGGCGGTGAGGTTGGTCCGACCGCGGGCTTGCAATCGTCGTCGTCGTCGTCGTCGACGGGCCCCGCGTCTAGTCCTGCGGTCCGAAGACCCCGACAACGTAAGCATCGCGGACGAAAAATCCCACGAACGTCACTGGATCGCTCCTTTCGTCGATCGATATCCTGGCGACAGCTGCGTCGTCGCGCACGATCGTGCTCGACCATTCGTTCATGTCGTTTAGGTTATGTTGATCATCCGCGACTTCCACTGTTGATCTCATCCCTTTCCATGAACTGACGATCCATGGAATATGCAGTTTCGATTCTTGCAGGATGATAAAATGAAATTTCTAGCTTGTTTGCTTATCAGTTAATTTTGTCGGTTGTTTGTTTATCAGCTTTGGTATAATATCATCTCTCTGTTTGCTTGTTTATGCCAAACTACATGAGATACTTGTTACTGTGAATGTTAAAGATTTTGTTACTGCTGTACTTAATTAATTAAACTGAATATTTATACTGTGATAAATGTTAATATCGGACAAAGAAAATATCCATTAAAATATGAGTGATTTCTTGTTATATTAAGTTCAGAAATATTACACTCATATTTTTACCACATATATATATGTACAGATCTTTGAAGCTAAAATAATTGAGAGTAATATTTTATTAGATAATATTTTTCAATCTATTTTTCAAATTACTTTCAATATTACTTTAAAATATTAAAATATAAACCTTTTGTGATTTAGATAATTATTACTTTTCTAATTTGTTTTTATAATTTTTAGGCTCAATTACAGTTATTAGGAGATAATAAGCTAGTGAAAAGAAAGCTATTGATGAGTAGATATATGAAAATATTACTTTTTCTCATAGTTGGAGACATGGGTACTCCAACACGGCCAAGAAGACAGCTAGATCTGCCAGTATCGCAGATGGTACCGCCAAAGAAACATGACATTGAGTTCGAGTCGAAACTGCAAGAGATCATGAAGATGAATGGCATCTTGAATATCAATGGTCAAAGGTACCAAACAGAAATGAAGGATTTGGAGCACTTAGGCGAGCTTGGCAATGGCACATGCGGCCACGTCGTCAAAATGAGGCACAAACCGAGCGGTGTGGTGATTGCTGTGAAGCAGATGCGACGTTCCGGCAATGCGGAAGAAAACAAGAGGATAATCATGGACCTTGATGTTGTGCTCAAGTCACATGATTGTCCATATATTGTACAGTGTCTTGGTTGTTTCATCACGGAGTCCGACGTGTGGATCTGCATGGAACTGATGGCGACATGCCTGGACAAGTTGCTAAAGCGCAGCAGGCAGGCGATACCGGAGGATTTTTTAGGCAAAGTTACAGTAGCAGTAAGTTCTTCTTTTAGCTGTTCTACAATGGCTGCAAGAATAAAGCTGTAAGCGTAAGCAATAAGAAATAGACCAACCACAGTCGATTATTCTTATAATAATATTGTAGAAGGGTGTTTAATTGTGTAAGGCAATTCATCTCAAGCTCCGAAAATGCTTTTTGAATTTTTTTGAAAGTGAGAAATCGTATAAAAATTGTATAAAAGGAAATTTATATCAAGAAGACGATTGATTATACAATAATTTCGGGATATTTTTCTTATATCAGTTTTTTGCTTTAAAATTTGAGATCAAACATTTCGTATGATTACGAAATAATTTTGAAATTGCAAGCAGGATATCAGGATACGACACTCTTTTTCTTTTCAGACAGTAAAGGCGTTGTCGTACCTGAAAGAGAAGCATGGTGTAATCCATAGGGATGTGAAGCCTAGTAATATATTGCTGGATGAATCGGGCGGAGTAAAGCTTTGCGATTTCGGCATATCCGGCAGATTGGTCGACAGCAAGGCGAAAACAAGAAGCGCGGGCTGCGCGGCGTACATGGCTGTGAGTAACCGTCTCATAATGTTGTGGAGAACATTAGACATTTTTTGAAAAATTGAAATGAATGATTATGCTTCCGTGGCAGCCTGAGAGGATAGATCCACCTGATCCAACCAAGCCAGATTACGACATAAGGGCGGATGTATGGAGTCTGGGCATTACTCTGGTGGAACTAGCTACAGGAGTATTTCCTTACCGAGACTGCAAGACTGACTTTGAGGTAAATTTCTGGCGGACGTCTGTTATTTTCTTGTGTCTATACACAAGTTGTGTCCATACACTAATGTCCTTTATCCTCATCGTTCTCCTCGTAACAGGTACTAAGCAGGGTAGTACAAGACGATCCTCCGTCTCTACCGCAAGACGCACTCTTCTCCAAGGAATTCAGAAACTTCGTTACCTGCTGTCTCACGAAGAACTACAAGCATCGGCCAAAGTACCACAAGCTCATGGAACATCCGTTCATTCGCAAGTACGACGTTCCGCAGGACGGCGAGACGAATTCCGCCTCGCCGAACTCCGGTTGCCAATGGTTTGGCAGGGTCATGCGACAGTTAGAACCAAGGTGAGCCTCCAGTAACGACCGTTCCGTCATTGTCTAGGAGAGTGATATAACAGGATTAAGTAACATGAAGAAAATGGCATAATATACATCGCTGACATTGAGACAAGCGTGACAGCAAGGTCGGAATTTAAAAATACGGCATGAAACTCCCGACTAATATAGATACTGATTTGGTTTGGTTATCTTTTTCTCTTTTTTTTTGTTTTTCAACAATAACCAGGTAATAATCACATTTCACCAACATATTTTGTAAGTTTTAACACTTCCACAGTGTCCGATAATGGGTAGGTATCAAGGCGGCTCCAAAATTGAGCGATACGTTTTGCGAGATTCTCTTTCGTGTTGAAAATTTTGATTTTGATTTTACGCGCTTATTTTATACGCTTATTTTATACGAGGTGTCCCGGCATTATCGCGTACTTTCCTTCGGCCTCTTCGATCGGCGAAGTCGCGTTAATTTGATGATATATCGACTCTCGCGGTCTCGTCGGTGAATTCGCTATTGCGATGAAAAACGCAATATTCCCGGGACACATCTGGTACATACTTATCTAATATTACTTTGCCAAAAAACCGACATGTTACAAACGTCTCCTTATTATTTCGATTAAAAGTTTGCGTGCGTGTTAAATTGTGTTGCAGCGTTGAGCTTGAGGGAGGCAGCGCGGCGTAGCATCCTCCCTTCTCCCGTTTCAGTCCCGTTCCCTCTGTTCCCTCCCGGACAAACCGCCCGAATAATCCCGAAAGAGACTTTAAACGAAAAAAAGAAAAAAAAAAGAAAAAAACGAGGAAACAAAAAAGATTACTCCCGTTCTCAGAGTATCCAAAAATCTACCCGATTTTCATTTCGAGTTGTTTGGTTTGTGCACGCGCCTGTTACACATCCCACCCTTCAACCCCCACTCACGGTAAGCATTGTTTTTTTATTTATTTCAATATTTCTTTCTTTCTCTTTCTCTCCGTCAATTTGCCTTATTAGTCTAGACGATTCGCCGACTGGTTCATTGCACGCATTGTTTTTCTCCTGTGCACATGTCATTTCTCTTTATTCTTCTATTTTTCTCTTTTTATTTTTTTTTTCTTTACCCCCATTGATTTCGCTGACTCTGCGAATTTCTCAAGTGCCACAAATTGAGGCGAGATCGCGACAATGAGATGAATTCGATCGCGACGAAGAGTATCGCGTGTATCCCGAATGTAGAATCTTGATCTCGCTTCAACTTATGTTGTCTGAAACTTCAGCGTAGTTTGGAGAGCGTAGCGTATACTTATAAGAACTTCCTCTGTCCTCTGCGATTGCATGTACAGTAACGATTAACGCTCCGCTCTAACTTCCATTAACTCCTAGGTGTAAGCTGAGGTTTTTTACAGAGTCATCGCGGTATCAGTGGGCTGACTGTGCGACAAATCTATTACATACGTATACCGAAAAAGAGCCGGATGGCACTTTTGCGCTGGGGGCAAGGGAAAGAGGCCGCGGTGTACATTCATTTGCTCAACGCCTCGGACAGATCTCATCCGTAGCGCTATTTAGTTTCAGGTTGTCGGGAGGGCAACAGCGGGTCTCGGGTCATGTGTCCTTGAAGCAGACGGCTCACTTCCGGGCGCAGTCTGACATACCGGCCTTCTTAAGAAGCAATAACACCAGTGTGACGGCCAAAGAGCCGTCGTCGGACTCTGGCGGTATTCTGCCGTTCCACCAGCGTTCCAACAGCGAAAACGGCGCCGCCAACTATGTGTCTTACAGTCCGTACGCGTTGCGTCGCAAGGAGCTCGCTCGGCCGTTCTCGCCGCCGACGACCAAGGACGACGCGGTCGCAGACTCGGAAGGACAGCCACCGCGACCGTTCTCGCCCTACCGGCAACTGGAACAGTCTACTCGGGATTATTCCGGCAATCGTTGCTCGACGAATGGTCAAAATAGACAGGAGACGGCGAGACCGTTTTCCCCATATAGACAGCAGGACACCAATTTAATGGACGGAAATGGCCGATCCTACTCCCCCTATCGCAGTCGCTACGACGAGCGTGACACGAGCAAGGATCGATGGCAGGGTATGTCGAGATCATTGAGTCCCTTCGCCAGGGATTACTCTCCCTGGCGGCGAGAGAACGTTGATCCACCTGGCGTGATCCAACCGCCAGCACCATCGTGCGAAAGCGGCCGTTATTCACCGTTTCTGCAGCAACGACTGGCGCAACCGCCGCCACCCGCACCTCAAACTCATCCTCTGCAGACGCAGGACATCTACGGTAGCCCGATGATCAGCCGCAAGAGGTAACAATTGCCATCGTCATTTCGTGTCCTTTCACCGCCGTCCTTTAATCGTCCTCGTGATTTTCCCTCTGCCTGCAGGTTTCCTTCGGAGCCGCCTCCACAGGGATCCCACGGCTCCACTAGTCCGCAATTGCTGATCTCCCGCTTCGCGCATCAACTCAAGCAAGAGTCTCCGCCGTCGTCAGCGACGATGCCGCCTCAGCAACAGGGTACCGGCTCCAAGGAGTCTGCGAAGAAGCGCTTCGCGTCTTACGTACGTCTCAGGCTCGGCAGTGAACGCGCTCCTTCGCCGGAGCCACCGCCGAGATTGAGCCGCGGCGAGTCGCCGCTCGCCCTTAGAAGGAATTTAGTAGAACAAGCGTCTCCTTCCTGTCCGCGAAGGTATGCGCTCATTGGTCGCGCGCTCATTGTCTAGAGAAGTGTGACGTATATGCGATGTTAACACTGTTTACTTTAAGATACGTCTCGTCTTCTCCACCTCAGCCGCCACCCAGGAGACTGTCGGAGAGCAATTCCGTGCCCGGTAGTCCGCAGCACGTGCGAGCCCGTCTGCGCTACACTCCCGAACCTCAGAGGAGACCTCCGCCGCCATAACCCACCGCTACCGTTAAGCCTTATTCCTTGTTGTTGGTGCCATACGCGACACGGTACGCCCGTGGTGCGATCGCGTGCATCACGTAGTAGCGAGGTACGTCGTATTCGGCGACGACGGTTGCGCACAGAGCGAGTCGCGCGTATACGGTACACACGCACACACGTATACGGTGTTCTCAAAGACAACGCTGTAAACCAAAAAAGAAAGAAATGAAATATGGAGAAGCATGTTCTTTAATACTCGAGTTGCCGCGAGTTGCGGTTTGTATGCGTCGAAGGCTGTACGAGAGGTCGATTTAGCGTGCGAAACGGTTGAAGTCGCGAAAGAGCGGTTTGATTTTTCTAGGTATAATAGCTGAACGTAAAAGAGAAAAAAGAAACATATAAAACTCGTATCGAGATGTCTGACAGCTAGGTGTCAGTAAATATTTCGGGTTTGACAAATATTTTTCTGGATCTCTTATCAATGTCTAAAGTAGGAAGGAGCGAGAGAGAGAGAGAGAGAAAGAGAGGAGAGAGAGAGAGAGAGTGGGGGAAACGCTTCTCAAGTTTTAAAATGCGCTTCACACGCTAAACTCGCTTTCTGCACGGTCGTAACCTTTTAGCGAGGCCTGCATTTCGCACAAGCGAGAGTCGTTCGCGCTGCGACGGAACCGCGCGCGAACGGTCTTCGCGACGTTTGCACATGGCTTTCTAAATCGCTGCCGCGCGAAACGCGAATCGAATTACCTTCGTCAATGATCCTCTTCTCGACGTGTATTTATAATAGGACGCAAAAGGGAAACACGATGCTCAACTTTTTATATCGCTTGCGTGTGAAGGAGCGTAGAGTGACGACGATGACGACGACGAGGATGACGATGACGATAACGACGACGGGGGAATAATAAGATGCATCGCGACTTTTTTTCTAAAAACAAAAACAGAAAAGATATACGTTAACACATGTATACACAGATACACACAAACACCAGCGAGATATGGCGTCATGCCGAAAACGCGTAAACCGTTCCTATCGCTCTTCGTTTACGCTTCTTCCTCTCGATCTTGAGAATCTTGTCGTGCTAAAGAGAAAAAGACAGAAAGGAGAGAGAGAGAGAGAGGAAGAGAGAGACAGAGAGTAAGTGAGCGAATGAGAGGAAAATAAACTGAACATTACAATGAAACTCGCTCTCTTCTCTCCGACGGCCGTGCGGTATCTTCGCGACTCGAATTACAGCGACTCTCAGCGACTTTTCCACGTTTTATTATTAATATTATTACTACGACTATTATATGTTATTTATATATGAGATAATACCAAACGCGCGCGCGAGCGAGTAAACCGTACGTTCACGGTCACACAAATCGAGATCGTATCGAGCGCGAAATCGTACCGAAAGGGATACATTATCGTCCACATTCGACTTCTCTGTAATGAGATAAAGCAAAACAAAGGCACAATAATGTCGCAGTGGCACGCCTTACTCGTAGAATTTTACTACGAATTCACGAATGTATATTACCTACTCAGTCGGCAGGGCGTGCGAAAGGCGTCACATGGTTAGGATGTTGTAATTAATTATTTTTAATTAACATTTAATCCCAAACTACGTTCAAGTCTACACTCGTAATCACCTTTGTCGCTTATTTGACAAAAGGATCTGTTGCAATGTAAATAAACTTATATTTATACGAGTCACTACTTTTTTCTGTATTTTATTGGCCCATTTTACGTTCCTCTCTCTCTCTCTCTCTCTCTCTCTCTCTCTCTCTCTCTCTCTCTCTCTCTCTCTCTCTCTCTCTCTCTCTCTTTCTCTCTCTCTCTCTCTCTCTCTCTCTCTCTCTCTGTCACTCTTCTCTTCATAGGATTGTTAAATATTGATTTTGTTATTTTCGCTTTTTATTTGTTCGACCTTGATCGAGTAGAATGTATTCATTTAGACCGGAATACTATAAATCTCTCATTCAAAGCTAGTCTCTAATAAAACTCTAATAAAACTTTCAAACTTCATTTTTTTAATATTGTTTAATATTGTTTTTTTCTTTACATATTTTTTTCTCAAACTTAAAAAATATTGAGTAACGCATATCTCTGATATTTAACGATGATTGTGACTTAATCTACAGTATAAAGTAGATAAGAATTTATATTATGATTTTATCATAGAATTAGATCAATTCAATCTTTAAGAAGAATTATGAGGAAGAATCACACGTAAAATAAATATAAACCAATAACAAGAGATTCAGAAATTGCTTTACAATCTTTTGCTTTTACAATGCTTTACCATCTTTTTTTCTTAAAGATGAAAGTTTCCAACTTGGCGAGATTAATATATCAATTCATTTATATTTTTATGAAAGTCCTGCGAAACAATTGCATCAGCGCGATTTATTACAACACACGAAATGTTAATATATGGATACATTTCCAGACCGAAAGTAAAATTCCGCTTGGAGCGTCATATTTTTTTCATCGTCTACAATGACTGATATTTATTCACGTTAGTGCACGACTACTCTGCCACACATCGTGTATATTTTTATCGTATCATGCCACGTAATCCCTAAGCAACTTTTTGTCGACAGACTGTCATGCGCACTGGGTTGCGATGGATTTTCCAACTTCATTACATTGTGCTACGATCGCTCATTAATTTATATATATTCTTTTAAGAGTTTAAGAGTTTAAGAGTTTATCGAATTTCGCAACAATCATATTATGTAACATTATTCCGTTATGTAGCAACATATGTTTTTTACTATACGCGAATATTTTTCGAAACACCAGGAGTTCTCAAATGGCTACTAATATTAATAAATAAATTAGAAATAAATATAACGTTAGTAAGAATATATGTAGTTAGAGAAGAGATAGGAAATAGACAAATTTGGTAAGTCAATAATAATTCGTCACACATGAAGTTATATTGATAATAAATGAAATCAAAACAATTTTTCATTATTCCTAATTTCAGCTTAATTAAAAATAATTTAGTCATATTTGACAAACTACTTCTTTTTTCAATATCTATTTATTTATTTTTTTACAGAAAAATCGTGCCTGTAAATATATGTATAAAATTGTAAGGAATCTCTACTTTTTTTTTTACTTCATATAGATCTGTTGTGCCAAAAGGGTATAAGACAACTAAACCGGATTCAATGGTCCTCATATATCTCATTTATGAAACAGAGAACTGTACGTATATATATTTGGTATAATTTATGTAAAGCAGTGTATAAAATCTATATAAGCAACGCTCATAATGGCCATGCTTCCTCTTCTTGTCTCTTACTTTCGATATGTGAAACCTCATGTAATATGAATTAATGTATGTTATGATAAATGAAGTAAATGTCATTTAAGATTAAATGAAGCTAACATTAAGTCTTGGGCGCGACACGATAACGGAGGATCGCGGAAAGAAAACAATTCTGTCTCTGTTATAGCGATCGCCGTCCCTGAGCAATCAATATGGCCTCCAGTCGCAGTTCGCTCGCTTGCTCGCTAACAGGGCACGCCAGCGTTTCTCTGTCTTTTTCCCCTTTACCAACTATCACTCTATCTCTTTCTCTCACTACAGAGTCTTCCGCAGGAAACTTCGGCGCTGTTGGTTACAGCGCCTTGCATCGCTTCGTACCGGGATCGTCGATCCGATTAGTTGAGCGGTACGACTCGGTAACCTCGAGGTTGACCAAGTTCAGCCAAGTTCGCCTGAAATCACCGAGACGTAAGCATGTGATGGTGTTTCGTTTAACAGAGACAGTTCAGGAAAGAGAAGTTAGTATTCCGGTATCCTGAGAAGCAAGGGCATCGCGTACTCGCGTATTGGAGAGATCGAGGTATCCGCATCGTCGATAAGCGTCACCGATAAGCGAGGATCGATTGGGAAAGCAGTGGTTATAAAAGGCATAAACGCTGGCGAACAAATCGAGAAGGGTATCCTGTAATATATAAGAAAGCGAATATAGAAAGAAGGAATACAGTAGGGGCATTAAGTCGTATGTAGTAGGTAATGGAAAAATTCGAGCGAATCATGCTCCGGTAGTTGCATCGCTGTATTCGGTAAAAAAAAAGCGTGAGGATATGAAGCACCTACTTGAAGAGGAAAGTGTGCACCATAGTTCTTACATGTTGTTCTGTCGTTCAACGTAGCAATCGTGAGCATGGCCGATGTCGTGTCCGAAGTTTCGGATGGGACAGTCGCGGCAGTTGAGGGTTGCCGCGTACCGCCATCGTCAACAACAGAAGCTGGTGATAATGAGGATATAGCTCCTGATGAAAATCTCGATGACAAAGTCAGCATCCACGAGATCCTCGAGGGTATGACGAATGAATTCAACAAGGGCATAAGTCCAACCAAGCATACTGATAATATTGACAAGACAGTGGTTGTTACAGAAGAGGTAAAGACGACGCCATTGTCGCCACCTAAGATTGTTAATGAAGTATCCAAAGATGAAAAGGAGCAAAATGACATTAGCAAGGAAGCAGCTGTGAATCCAGGGGAAGTAGTAGCTCAACCTGTGTTAGATGAGAATCACAAGGCACAGGATGATAGTTCTACAGGCAAGCAGGAAACTCTTAAGAAAGATAATGGTATACCTAGGATTGTCTTGACATTTAGAACTATTGATGAAAATACAGATCATGGCAAGAAGACTAAGATATCAAGCTGTTCTTCTAATCTCACTTTGGTTCCTGATGAATTGGTCAATTGTGATCAGATTGGCGGTGTTTCGGTAAAGATAGAGAATTCTGATGATAATTTTGATACTGTGGAGGAACCTTCAGCAGAAGAAGGCAAGGTAGAAGAGCAAAGAACGAAAGAAGCAGAGTCAAAATGGGTGAATGAGAATAAGATAGAAGATACAAGAAAGGAAGAACTTAGTAATGCACAGTCTTTTACTGAGGAGAAGGCTGAGACTACAAAGAGCAACAGTGTTGAGGAGCATGCAGAAGGTACTGAACAGAGAGAAATTGCTGCACCAGTTACCAGGAAAAGAAGAACTGGACGACCTAGATTACGAGCACTTAGGTTTCTTTTTTGTTTTCCCTCTCTTCACATTTGTTAAAGTATATTTTGCATAATATATATGAATTTTGTTCCCTTGTATTTTCAGTGACTCAATAGAGGAGCGGCCTTGTCCTAAGCGGTCGGCTAGAAGGCTATGTAAGGAATCTTTGAAAAGCACAGTGTTGGAAAGTGCTATGGCACGTAAAGAGAAGTCGAATTACACAGAGGTACATATGCAATGTAAGAAACGGAAATATAACAAGCCAGGCCGTCCAAAAAAATTGATTCCTGGCAAAGATCAGATCAAGCCGGTACAAATGAAGCTCTCTGATATCCGTCATCAGGAAGCAGACACTATACTGCTATCTGACAGTGGTGTTAGCACATCTGAGAATATGGTGGATTCATCGCGTAACTCCACTACTTCCTTGTCGGAAAATAATAGTATAAACGACACTGGTAATGAAGATTCGCTGATGTATTCATCTTCCGAATTTGCCGATATGCCGAAATTGTCTCCAATGACGAGGAGCTCAGATCTGCAGACCAAGTTGAGCAACTCAGTTGGTAGTCCTGGCAGCGATGACATACCGTTGGCGGATATCGAGAAGCCGTTTCTAAAACCTGCTACTGCTGGACGACCCAAAAGGGAAAGAGGGCGACCACGTGGAAGCACTCAAGCCGCACGGAAAATAGCAAAAGCTGACATATATGAAGGTAGCGTAAAACATATACGTTATAATTGTTTCTTGTCGTTGTGTTGAAATATAATATGTTACTTTGCAGATGGTTCCCCATCTATTGCAGAAACGGGAAAACATAATGATTATCCTGAAGGTAAAATTATAATCTACAAATTTAAATTTTACATGTACATATAATTATATATAATGGTAAGAGTCCAATTAAATTTGATTGGGAATACATTGCAAAGAAATATCAAACAAAAAAGTATACATGTAAAATTTGGATATTTGTTATTCATAGTTCATGGATACTTTGTTGTGTGTCATATGTTTCTCACGACTTATTCATAAACGCATTCTTCATCGCATATTTTATCATACAAGATATTACTTTGACCAAAACATATATATGTATATACACATATGTATATATATATATATATGTTTTAGTCAAAGAAATATTTATTAAATATATATATAAATATAAAATCTAAATATATTTAATAAATATTTAATAAAAATAAAAAAATGATATATATTTTTTATTTTATTAAATAATTAAATAATTGGATATTTCTGCATCAGTTAATAACATTCTACTTCGATTTATTTCAGAAGGTGCAGTACCCGCAAAACGAACTCGTAGAAGTATGGCACCGAGTCCGAGTCCTGCGGAAGGACAGGCATCGAAGCCAGAATCTACGGCAATTATGAGTGAAGTCAGTATCGTCCTCTTAACCATTTCTTACATGTTAATTCGGACGCGTATTCTTATCGTTATCTGATTCATTTCAGACGTATGCACAGTCCATGCTATGTTTGTGCCAAGTGCGATCTCAATTGTATGTAACAATTACCGGTTCCGGGGCACCTCTCTATTGTACGGCCAACGACTCGATCGACAACAGGTTGGTGGGTTGTTGTAATGAGGTAGACAGCAACGACGTGGCGATGAGACGGCCTAGTACTCGCATACCCTACATCATCCTCTGCCGTATGCATAAAGAGCGACTGCTGCGACACAACTGCTGTCCCACGTGCGGCAAGTTTTGCTCGCAGGGTAGGTTCGTACAATGCATCAATGGGCACCAGTATCATCGCGAGTGTGAGATCTACCCGAACAAGAAGGGCGTATGTCCTCATTGTGGCAGCGAGAGTGCTGCTTATGATGTGGTGGTTACGATGAATGGCATGCGGAAGCCTGTCTTCATCCCTACACGAAAGAAGTTCTCTAGGCTGCCTTCTGCAAAGATGACATTGCCTGGTAAAGGTGATAACACAGTGCTGGCCGAACGTCCGCCTAGTCCGCTGATCCAGCCTGATATCATCAATATACCCAACCCTTCAATCAACAGCGAGAGACCAGAACGTTACACCATTATGAGCCTCTACACGTCTGTGAAGAATGGGGATCTAGAAAAGCTGGTGAATGTATTAGGTGAGCGAAAATTTTTGGACGAGTAAAACAAGAAAAAAGAAAAGCAGGAACGATAAAAATTCGATTTGTGAAATTGAGCATTTCGAAAATTAGAGATCGTGAATCATTCCATGATTATATATCTGCTGTTTTCAGTCATTCTCATATTTCTATTTATATTATCTCGTTAAAGGATAAAACTTTTCTCAGGTTTGAGATTATTATACCATTTGACGTTTTGTGATTTGACAGCTTGTGGCTATAATGCGAATCATACATTTCGGGATTACGCTCATCGGACTAGTCTACATATAGCAGCAGACAAAGGTCATCTGTCGTGTGTGCATGTTTTGGTGCAAGCCGGTGCTCAAGTAGATGTAATGGACAGAAATCAATTGACACCTCTGATGCTTGCTGCTAATAAGGGTAAAGCTGACGTCGTTAGATACCTAGTTAGGATAGGTGCCGACGTAACATTGAAGGGCGAAGATGGTATGACTGCTTTACATATGGCAGCTAAGTCTGGCCATTTAGAAGTCTGTAAAATCATCTTGACTGAGTGCAAAGTGCCAAGGACATTAGTAGGTAATGCTGACTTTGTTCTCGAATAGAAAATGTACTTATGAATTTCACACAGATTAGAGCATTTTCTCCCGAATAAAATTGGTAGATTTTCGCCTCATGTTTCTTTATACCTCATCTGCAGATTCCGTAGACGATGGTGGCTGGACTAGTCTCATATGGGCCTGCGAGTTTTGCCATACGGATGTTGCACGGTTCCTCCTGGATAAGAAGTGTGACCCTCTTATTCGAGATGCTGAGCAGAACATTGCGCTTCACTGGAGCGCTTTCAGTGGAAGTTCCGAAATTACAGAGATGCTTCTGAATGAAGGATGTGATGTTAATGCAGTCAATGTTCACGGTGATACTCCTTTGTACGTTTTAGTCCATCATCTGATGCTACCAAATTAGCGAGAAAATGCTCGTTAGTAGTCTGTATAAGTTTTGGGAGAATAAATTTTGATTACATGATATTTCATTTTTTCCTTTAGACATATAGCGGCTAGACAAGACCAATACGCAGTAAGTGTATTGTTGCTAGCACGCGGTGCTAAAATAGGAGAAGTGAATGCTGCCGGCGAGACTGCAGTGAACTGTTGCGCCACGGATGGTGATACTATGGCTGCCTTAAGATTAAATGCAAAAGTCAATGCAATTTCCGACCACATGTGGGAAAAAACGATTAAAATACTAACGAAGTATGAAATTTTACTAAGTATAAAATTGTAGAAAGTTCCCGAAAATAGTATTATTTTCATATTGAAATTTTTATTAATTTGATTTTTCGTCCCGAAAAATTAATTATTTTATTTGTCTATTTTTTCTATTTATTATATATTTTTTTCTTTTGTAGTGATATTTCACGCGGAAAAGAAACTAATCCCATACAGTGTGTTAACGGACATGATTCTGAGGACAAACCGACTGATTTTCTTTATGTGACGGAGAATTGTTTCACAAGCAATATCAACGTTGATCGTACGATAACATCATTGCAGTCCTGTCGATGTGAGGATAATTGTAGCTCTGAGAAATGCTTGTGCGGAAATATAAGTTTACGATGTTGGTACGACGAGGAGGGGAAACTCATACCCGAGTTCAATTATGCAGGTATCTATTTATTTCGAGATAAGTTTTTTATTCAAATAAACAAGTCTATTCGAATTTCGAACAAAATCAAAAAAGATTTATTTTGTTAGAACGAGTTTCCTCAAAATTGATGCCAACAGTTGATTTTGTGTTGCAGATCCACCGATGTTGTTTGAATGTAATCCAGCTTGCGATTGTAATCGTATCACTTGTAATAATCGAGTAATTCAACATGGTCTTACTCAAAGGTTTCAATTATTTCGCACAGAAGGCAAGGGCTGGGGTCTTCGAACTCTTCGGCTTATACTCAAAGGCACTTATGTTTGCGAATATGTCGGTGAGATAATCTCCGACTCCGAGGCTGATCATCGAGAGGATGATTCTTATTTATTTGATTTAGACAACAGAGTAAGTGAAATTATTATATTGTTCTTATGACTTCCTACCTCGGGCGAAGCAGACATGTAATTAAGGTGGATATATATTTACCCTTATTCAAGGTCACTCGATAATATCGCGAAGCAAATAAAATGATAAAAGAATGAATAGTAAATCGAGGGAAATTCGTAATTCTTATGTTGATTCTCTAATGCGATAACTAATGGACAGACAAAATGATGACGTAGTCCAAATAGAACGAAAAATTTAAATCTAATATTGATTCAAAGATTTCGAACATTCTTCCATCTTGTTTGGGGCCGCGTGATTTTAAAAATTTATTATTAGGTTTCAGTCATTGCGTCCATTTTTTCATTTTATATAAATATGTGAAAAAAGAATCTCGAGCTTTTTCTAATCGATTGATTTATTAGTCATCTCCTTTGTAATCGTTTGTTAGTGTTGTATATAATATAATCAACTTACACAACTTACATTCTTGTTTGTCTTGTATTACATTAGAGCATTTTATTTCATATGGATACACAGGATGGAGAAACGTACTGTATAGATGCGAGGCGTTATGGAAATATTGCTCGGTTCATCAATCATTCATGCGCGCCGAACCTCTTGCCGGTGCGAGTATTCGTTGAGCATCAGGACTTGCATTTTCCCAGGATAGCGTTTTTCGCTAATCGAGACATCGAGGCGGACGAAGAGCTCGGGTACGTTAAAACACGGTTGATGTGATTTAACGAACTTTAAAAAGTACTCATTAGTTTCATCTACTAATTACGTGTATCATCGCGTAACTATGTAGATTAATACGGGACTTGCGTTTGTCCTTAGTTTTGATTACGGCGAGAAGTTTTGGATAATAAAATGCAAATCCTTCACGTGTACCTGCGGGGCCGAAAACTGCCGTTACTCCGAGAAGACCATACAGGTTACGCTGGATAATTATCGGAAGAAGATACAACAGGAAGAAATGCTGGCAGCTCAAACCTCATCGTAACCTTAAATGCGATTTAGCTTAATTCTATAGGGGCTCGCGATTTCTTAATCGTTGATGGACGTTACACACGATTTTTGCGAATCACCTCGTCGATCACGCGCGCTAGTTCTTTCCATGTATCGGTTTGCCGAGACCGATTCTCGCGCGCGCGATGCGCGAGATCGTAAGAGTACAAATGCAATCGGTGGTGGGATTATTAAGTTCGATTAGGTTCTTTCCCCGATGTTTATGCTTACACCGAGAGATGTATATACCATCCGACTTCGCAGCCGCCGAAGCTTCGAAGGTATCGGTCGTACTATTGTTTTCGCTGAGTGCCGGACGTTCGTTCATATTGAGACGGGGTTAATGGTTGCTTCGTCAATCGAGTTTGTTGCCACGTTGCTTGTTTTTTTGAAAATCGAAGTTTTAACACCGTTAGTCGCGTATAAATTGAGTAATCGCAACGAACTTAGGAAGATGCATCGAGGAAAATATTAATCGAGTTGAATTTTGAAGGTTTTTTTGTGACTTGTTCAATGGAACCATTTGTGCGTAAGTACTTTGTGCTTTCCTTGGCAGGCCGGTGGTTAATGGCGATTGGTATTTCAATAATAAATATTCAATATGGCACACGGAAAGATCATGATGAATGCAATAAAAATATTATGTAATATATATGAAATGTTCAAAATATAAGAAAAACAAATTCAACTAAAGATGCGAGAATGAATTTGTTTTTTTATTACGGAACATTTTATATGAACTTTGAAACATTCTTATTATGTTCTTTCCGAATTCTCTCTTTCGAATTAAACTTCAATACATTGGGTACCATATTGGTATTGAATGTGAACCTTTATTGGGTTCAAATCCTACGACTGCTATACGCAGTTATATACAGAGTCAGATTACTTAATACATCGTTAATCGCACGAGTTTCATCGATTAAGATATTTAGAATTATATTTAGATTTTTAAGGTTTCTGATTAGACCATGGTCATCTCAAATTTTTAATGTACTTTGCAGGAATCTTGAGCATGTATTTTCTCGCTGATACCATAAATCAAAATAACTGTGGCGACTACCTAAGAGTTTTAAGTAAGCAGAATTGTTGCAAACCCGCAGATCGATGATGACTCTTGAGAGAGCTTACGAATCACCAAAATATGAATGACGTGGTACTCACTGTATTAAAGGAATTTGAATTAATCATTCGTCCATATTATCTTTCAAAGCTCACTCATATTCTCCTATTTCTGCCTATTTTTTTTGCGTGATTATAGATCTTTGATAGACACGATTCTACGGAAAAATCGTCGCGCGACCTTTTCTTCTCCATTTTTTTATCTAGATAACAATAAGCATAATATATGATGGTTAGGTGGTTTGCTTGTGTAAAGCGCGAGAATTTTAAAGCGCGGTTGAAAATATTGTTATACGGTTGCGAGAGAATGTAAACTATCATCGCTTAGGTGAATCAAAGAATTATTGCAGCGCGCGTTCGTGTATTCCTTATTATAAAGCGTTATGCTGTTTTATTCCAATTAAATGCGCGAACATTTATTTCGTCTGCGAACAAATTGAATAGGATTCACTGTGAGCGATGTAGTGCATAAGATACACCTTTTTGTACAAATATTTGATTTTTTGTATAATAAAAATTGTAGTCCTTTTTAACACGTGTATTCTCTTTTGAATTAAAATACTCTTCGATATAGCAAATTATTAGGAGAGAAAATTAGACATTCAACAGAATCTAATAAAGTTATTCATAAAAAAATGTTAAAATAAAACTAAGCAAAATTTTTATTTTATCGAATTACATTTATCTATATAAAGTTCTTCTTAGCAATCTTTTACAACTTGACATTTGTTTAGTTGCGAGATTCATCTTCAATGAATGAAATGGTAAAAAGGCACAAATAATATGCTCGCGATTCGAGTTTGAAAACATTCGTGAAATGAAGTTCGTGAAATTGCTGCGATTTGTGGATCAGTTATGTAACATCTAGTATTATCATGATGAATTTTTGGATGAGTGTCTATAATTAGATGACAATCAATAGCTACATCTCTCTTCTAATCAATTATTTATATTACTTTCAGGATTATTTCTCAAGATATTTGCAATAAACATAAAATATCGTTACTAGGGAATTCTCGAGATCCGTACGCGTTACGTTGAGTGTAATGATTCGTCGAGCGCAGAGATCGTTGAAAAAGTGCAGTTATTAAAACGGATTGTAGCGTTAGAGTGTAGATTTGTCAAGCCGTTCTGCTACTTTTCGCAATTTTAATTAGCCGAAGGTGAGCTCTGTTCGTAAATTACCACAAGCATCGCATATTTGTCGTAACAAAATAGCGTCTAATGATTGTTGAAAATAAATATTTTACAAAACAGATATCTAGAGTTTATACGAAGGACTGAACGGTTATGATAAATTTAAAATTCAAATTATTGCATTTTTTTTTATATTTTAGACTAAAGAATTTAACATACAAATTATTACGGAGATGATTATGAATAAATTTGACTTGATTGTCGTAGTAAAATATTATCGAATAGTCAAAGTGAACATTCGCCAATAGGATCGTCGGGAAGTGAAGTTAGCGCATGAAGTTAGCGTTAGGTCGAGAAATTCAATTGGGCTGTAATAATGGCGACACGGCGGTTTGTGCTTGGAGAGCTGTCCTGCATTTTTCGTGATTTTGACTTGTTGAAGGTAAGTTTCAAGTTCACATTATCGTTTGCCGAATGCATATATTTCACACGCGTGTTATAGCAACATGTTGACGAAAAATCGATGAAACTAAATATCTCGCAGAGCGACGCGTGTCATGAATGCGAGAGAAAGATAGAGCGTTCCTCAAGGTTAGCGCATTTCGTAGTACAATTCGTTACGTATACGCTTTCGACCGAAGGATTTGATGTTCGAATTATCACCGGGAGTGTCCGGAATAAATGTCATTTGGTTATCGTAACGTTGAAAAATTGAAAGTGGATATTTTGCGGGACGGTGCGTAGGGTGTGCCGAGTGAAGTTCGTGCGTTCGTTAACTCGAGCAACTCAATTGCACTTTAATGGCAACTCAGCGGTTCGCAGCCGAAAAGCCGTGCTACATTTCTCGCGATTTCGACCTGCAGGAGACGAGTCTCGTGAGCAAATTGTCGTTCCCAGTAATGCCAAATATGAGTTTCGCGTCGTACCGAAGTGCCGTTAAAACACTGCGGAAAATAAATATCTCGTGGAACGGCAATTCGAAAGTGTCGAGTGAGATTCGCGCGTTGGTTATATTATAACAATATGAAGTTGAACTCATTAGATCTAGATAGATAACTACACGTTATTTTTTTACCAGAGGAGAATCTCGCACGTGAATCATCGGGACTGCCAAGTAGAGGGTCACTTGTTCACCGCACTATGAAATTTGGAATCTCAGCTGCTGTATTTTCTCTCCGAGCCGATAAGAAAAAAAAATAAAGTAAGTGACGATGAAACAAAAATCAATATACATGACAGTCGTGCGTTATTCGTACGCTCCACTCGCCAAAATTAAATATCAAGCGAATAATTTGTTCGAAACATCAGGAATAGATCACATTGTTCAAAGTTAAGAATCGAAGTCGAAAACGGATCATGAACGACAAAGAACAATGTTAAATTTCATAGTTTGAAATACTCAAAGTGTCAAAAATGCTCGATCTTAAAAATCAAAATCCTAGATAATTAAGAAAGATTGAAAAGTTTTCGTTACGACACTTGTGCTTGTAATAAAATTTCTCTCGAGTGGAAATTAACTTCGGTAAAGACAATGTTCTTGAAATATGAATAACCTCGAAGATGACCTTGAAGCTCTGAGAAATAGCAAGTTACTTATATAATATATTAAACGTTCAAAGATAATAAATAACAGTATGAGAAACAGCGCGCGCGCGATCGTCGACAACCTCGCGGGCTGCGGTGCACCTGCGCGTTGATTGAGCCGCCGACAAAAGATCGTGCTAGCCGACGATTGGTTGGAGGTCGACCGTCGCGCGCTGGCTCCGAAATTCAAGTGAAGACGCGCCAGTTAGTGTAGAGACCGTGGAACGCGCTAGCAGGCGCGACGCCGTGTAGTCCGCGTAGGATCGTAGATCTTTTTTTCACCTGTTCGATCATACGCGCGCGTGTCCGCGACGTCCTATGTTATAATTTTCACACGCGATGATCGCAACGTATTAGTGATTATTTGCTCGCGCTTCAAAATCCGTCTGCCTGCTCGCGTTTCGTTTTCTCGTCGCCGCGACTACGACAACGACGACGACAACGACGACGACGACGACGACGACGACGACGACGACGACGACGACGGCGTTGACGTCAACGGCGACTCGTTCCTTTGCCGATTTGCACGCGGAAGGTCGCGGAAACGCCGTAGTGCTGTACGCCGACGATGGTATTATGTCGCGACGCGCTCGATTCGGTGAGTGTGCATTAGTGCCGTTTACGGGGCTGCTGGAGATCTTCCACGAGGGACTAGTATGACAACCAGCTGACGGATGTATCCTTGGTCTCCAAGCTGCTCACGACGTCGGCGGGATCGAGCGGATTGAGCGGACTGAGCAGACAGTGGAAGGTTAGTGCACATATTTTACGACCATTTCGCGGGATTTGATAAACCGAGATGACGTTATAGTACTCCATTTTATGCAACTCTCGAAGTACTTGCCATCGCGGATTTTCATGGCATCGTACCTTTTTGTGATGACAGTTTTGCTGAGATACGTATATGAAAGTTTCTTCACATATATATCATAATTTACGAACAATCATGTATTTCGCGAGGACCCGTTCTCGCAGCTTTTGCATTATATATAGTTAGCTCAAGGGAGGTTCTCGGCTTTTCTTGCCTTTGTTCTCGAGATTTGATCGAGAAATTATTGAGCGACAACTTATTCTCCTTCGATGGAAGAAAATCTCTCTGCGAAATAAAACCTGGAGATCGGCCGTCGCGTCCGGATAATGTTCTGCTGTTTTTTTTGTTTTTCCTTCACTCGCATAATGCGACTCGCGAATTCGCCCGATGAGTCATAAAGCTTTCAAATCTGAAACACTCAAAGAAAGCATTATTGCCGACGGGCCGATAAACTTTCTCGTGGTATGTCGAATAATTTTTCGTCTTTAGAAGTTTAGTATGTATATAATTCTTTGAAAAGTTTCAACTTGATATTCTTTCTTCTTAATAGAAATTTTAATCAAAATTTTATCGCAGATTCATATTTTTGATAAAAATTCGATGTTGGAATCTGTAAGTTTTAAAAGCGCTCATTCTTTTCCTTGGGCTGTTTTGTTCCATGCTTTCAAGCCATGTTTGGGTTTATTTTTCTCATCTGCTCAAGCCATAAACGGTTTTACGTTTAACGTTTCTGTTTACTTCTCTGTTTATGTTTTGATTTTCGTTGATACTTGCTGAAACGCAATTGCTACATTTTACCTTTATATCTTTTCTTCTCATTCGCTTCATTCGAATCGTTAATCGATAATTTTAATGTTAATGAAATATAATAAAAAGATTATAAATTATATCAATATTTTTACTCCTCTCGTCGAGCTCTTTGCTGCGAGAGATTTTGATTTTTTATTTTTTCATAGTTTCTATCTTTTGAATAGTCCGTTCCTTTTATTTTTCTCTCTCCCTATCTCTTTATTTCCTCACTCGAGCCTGAAAGTCCGCTAATTACAGAGATGAGTATTAGTTGAAAGCGATTCTTTCGACCGGGCAATGTTTTCTGGGGATGGCTTTTGTTGACTTCCCGGGCCGCGTGCATCTCACGACGAGCTTCCATGAGAGAGTTGATTTCTGGGATACAACGCGAGGGCTGGTAGGGAAACTTTCGTCGAAACACAGACGATTTCCGTGACTTAAAAGCTATTGCAAGAAGCAAACGACAGCTTAAACCGGTGTTTTGAAAACCAGAGTGTAACGGAGACATTCCGACTAGTCTCCTTTAAGTCACCTAGACTGTTTGTCGAAATTTCCCCTCAAACTTGTTGCGTCATAACATTTTTTCTTCATGTGTTGCTTTTATTAGTTTTTCTCTCACTTTGATCTTTAAATGGTATTTAATTACAAAAATAGATTTTATATATATATATATATATATAGCATTTGTCACATAAATAGATAGAAGTAAACAGAAACGAAAAAAGTCACTAATTCTAACGCTTCTCTCAATGACGTTTGAGTCGATTCTTCTTCAAGGAAGTTTGAAGCTTCAGTAACTTTCATGTCATAATTTTTAGTGAACAAAAGGCCGCAGTGAATCGCGCGACAATAAGCTTACGCGACATTAAAAATTGATTTCCATGCGAATAACCATAGCGAATAACGTTGAATGCACGCTACAAAGGCCGCGCTAATGTCGACTGTAAAACATTGAAAATTTAAATCTCGTTGGACGCGCGCGGTAATGTACGCTGAAAATGTGCATCTGGGCGGAAACTCGTCGTAACTGTCGTATAAAACGAACGCGTCTGAGACTGTCGAAGGCACGGCATTAAATTGTTTATGAACACTTTTATCGGCAATTCGCTGTTCCGAGGGTGACACACCCGTGGATCGAATGTGTGCACTCGTAACCTTCGCAAAATGTCGGCCGTCCTTTGTCACGAATTTCTTTTTTCACATCCGCTGATATTGTGAAAGTATGGTAATATAAAGAAATATCTTGTCAAGCCCCAGTAGTGACTCATTATCACACGTCGTTGGTTATATCAATAAATATGTAAGCGACGAGCCTTCCCCAGCTGCTTTATTTTCGAAAAAAGTGCAAAACACAGGATAAATAAAACTTCTGAAATGTACGATGACTACGAATATCTGCGGCCACAATTTCGGCGTGTTATGTGTGCCAGCCCGAATTTTAAGGATTATACAATTTACAAAAAAAAAAAAGAAAAAACAGGACATCACACTCTCGACGCTCTCAATACAAGTGTTCTACGTTGTTGTCGAGCGTTATTTATAAAAATTGATTTCTTATTTGGCGCATTTGGCGATTATCCGCGATTATACCCTCTGATTCGTTACATGGTTTCATCGAGTCACGTACTACCAGCTCGTGACAATCAGACTAGCGGTTTTCAATGCCGACACGCCATTACTATTCTTTGTTCAAAACTATCACTGCGCGACATAAAAAAAAATATATATATATATATATAGATATCGCGTTTATAGAAAAAAATTGACAATGCGCGAATTCAAAGTACTCCGCAACAGAGTAGAGGGAACAGATTGTGTGAAACCAAACTTTTCGTTATTTCACAGTTTAGGATTATGGAGATAATCTACTTTGCGAGCGTGAAATCTGATTTCAAATACATGTATTTGGATGAGAGCTTCGAACATTTATACATAACGCATAAGATTTCTTTTTCTCGAGAGCGGAAATAAAAAATTAATCTGCGAACGGCGATACGTGTTCTCTTTATATTTCGCCTGGACGAACGAAAACCCTGAACCGGGCATGATCCAAACGCTCAATTTATACTCGTGTAACAATCGTAGCGATCATCAACAACGGAACGATCACTATCACATTACATATTGGAACATGCGTATATCGAATCGGACGTGGCCTAAATACTACGGAGATCTTCTCAGGATTGGATTAACGGTACGCGTGTACGACGTCGTTGCCGCCGCCGCGGGGCGAATTATCGCCGACGTCGACGGATTTTCATGTTTATCTCGTCGTCGTTTGCGGAAGCCTTAGGACTCGCTTGCATACGGACAAACACGCGCGATCGCATCCACGTGGCGAGCGGAGGTCATCGTCGTGGGCTAGCACGCGCGCGCATGAAAGTCGGCAAGGGTGCTTGAGGGCTTTCTAGGTCTCTAATGACGCCTTAAGAACACAGTGAACTGCGAAACTCGGAGCCGTTTACCCGTTGATTGAGATCTCTCGCTACGGATTATACCGTCGTCTTCGAACGTGTGCTGGCCCGCACGTATCCATAATTTCTCTTGATCACCCGGCGGTTGTAGAACGGTTGTAGGAGGATGCTGGGCACGATTTCGATCCGCGAATCGTCATCGTCGTCATCGTTGTCGATCGCGCCTGCTAGCAACTTAAATCGCGCGATAACGACAACAATTTGTGGACACCCGATATGATCGCAATGGGTAATTCTCGCGGTCATGATGGGGATTAAGGATGGATAGCAAAGTGTTTTTATACATATCGGGTTACAAAGTCATGAAGTATGGACGTTGACCTGTACTGCCGCCGTGATCAACGATCAGCACGTTCGATTTTCCACGCTTCCACAATTTCTTACGTGCAAACTATGTCAGTTGAGGAAAAAATTTCAAGCCGAGGAACGGCTTTTTTTTTTAACGAGACTCGCAGATACGAGTCGCAACATATGCGCAAACAATCCGCGATCGTTGAATTATTTACGATTGGCGCGTCGTTATTCGCTGTTAACGCGCTTGGTTAATAGATATCTTTCGGTCATATGGTTTTACTTTTCGGTGCTAATTTTCGCGCAAGACCTCGTTTTGCGTCAATTTGTTATTTAACGTATCCACCTCCGCGATTTGACACGCTAATCAATCGCGTGCGACGTTGTTTCGTATGTCGCATTGATAACAGATACAATGGGGAAAAGCCTTGCTCGTGTCTCTGCAACGTTCGTTAGATATCTTCTCTGTTATATGGGTCGAGGAGTGACGATAGAGCTCTGACACACTCCGTGTACACAGTCTTATTGCTTTCGTCGACGCCGAAAAGCCGAAAAAGCTCGGAACTATGCGAAACGTTAGTTCACACCTTTGGCCATTATTCTACTTCCCCGGTTTAATCGAGCCAGAATCGAGAGCTCGATTACGTTACGAGAGTGTAAAGTTGAAAGCGGCATTGTTTCGTGGACGGTACAGCAGTAATTGTAAATGCGCTTGCAATATTTACCCGCAAATATTGACGTAAACATTCCGATATCTAATTAGTAATTAATATCTGATTATCATTGAAATTTTCGATAAATCCTACGGTAACGGGACGTAATCGCGTTTTAAACGCCGTGAAACGCACGTATGCAAGTCCGCGCGCGTGCCATGAATAATAAAATACAAATAATATAGATGCAACGCTCGTGCGCATTAAAATCGCGCGTCAGGCGTGTCGAACGAGATTATTCCATTTGCGTGGAACTCTTTAACGCCGTCAGACACAAACTTGTCTTCGCGTCACTCAAACGAAATCGGGAATCGAAACGAACGTGTTTACCAACCGAAGCTATGTTGCATGAACGTGCGTGGATGCGTGCTACATGTAAATACGCGCTGTTCGGTGTAAATAATACATTTTATCATTCCTTTCACAATTCATGACGCGTATATACTCGCAGCCGCGGCGATTCGGTTGACGCGTTCTCGCATTCTCGCGATGTGAAATGGATTAAAATGTATTCCGGAGAATGGCGACGCGATTCGTCATTTTTTCATAGTCTTTGCGCGCCGATATTTGCGTACGCTATCTACACGCGTCGCCATACGTGTTGCCCACGTGTGTGTGCACATACATATGTATGATGCGCGTCGTTGCACGACCGACTGACCGTGCATTGTCG